GCTAAGCCGACTGGGTTCTCAGCCCTCAAGGGAGCCAGAGCAGGCTAGGACATGAAGCAGACAGATTATGCACCCGGCAAGGCAGAAGCTCAAGCCCTATGTTCTTGGGTGAATAGAGGACTTGGGAAGAGAGAGGGGAACCATATTTAAGTTTCTACTACTATATATTGAGTATAGCTAGCACCTAGGCCTCGTTGATGCCATTCCATTATGGGGTCTGTTTCCTGCAGGATATATCCCAAGTGCCATCAGATATTGAGGGTAATGATGTTGGTATTCTATTTCTTCCATCATCTCTGGCTTACGAATAGGGATGGGTTTGACCTTGTAAGGGGTTTATCCATGTATCTGGACCCTGGAGAAGGTGAGGGTGGGAAGCCAAGGCAAGCTGATGGGTTCTATCTCTATGATGATTCCCCATCTTTTCAGCCTAGGAACCAACCCCACCAGCCTTTAGGGCAGGGGTCCTCAAACTACGGCCTGCGGGCCACATGCAAATACAAATATTGTATTTGTTCCCGTTTTGTTTTTTTACTTCAAAATAAGATATGTGCAGTGTGCATAGGAATTTGTTCATAGTTTTTTTTTAAACTATAGTCCGGCCCTCCAACGGTCTGAGGGACAGTGAACTGGCCCCCTATTTAAAAAGTTTGAGGACCCCTGCTTTAGGGGAAAAATGGGTTGTCCTTTGTCTTCTCTGATTTCTTGTGGCATGCACAACAATCCCATGGTGAGTTGGATAGTCTGATCATTTGCAGATGAAGGAAGGGAATCTCAGGGAGGCTGGTAACTTGTACCTTTTGATTTCTGTAAACTCCAGTTCTCATTAGACAAATGGAACAATTAAACCAATCTCACAGGTTCCTATGAGGATTATTGAGACAATGCATGTAAAATCACTGTGTAAGGTTCTATTCAAATACTGATAATTTTTTTGCTATCATAATTAGGACTAGTTTAAAGATCTTTTGTCTCTGAATTTAATACCCTTTTTTTTCCAAAGTTGCTTATTCATTCATTCATTTATTCATTCACTTACAATTTTTGAATGTTTGTGAGGAGCCAAGTGCTCTGCTAGATCCTGGAAGTAGGAAGCTGAAATACTACTAAGAGGAGACCATAGGCTAGAGGTGAGTCAGGCCCTCAGAAGGAGCGAGGCAGGCAGAATGGTTGTTGCCAAAATAGGTGTGTGAGGAGCATGGCAAGGGCGTGGAGGGCAGCGGGTGGCTGTGCTGAGATGGGAGTGGCATTAGGGAGGCTCCACTGCCTCATCATGTGCTCCCTGTCCTCCCGCTCAAGACCCTCATGCTCACTCTTCTGTGGGACAAGATCTGTTTTGGGAAACAGTAAGGAGTCTACAGTGGGGAGACCACTCAGATGGACCTTGGGGGGTCCACTGACTCTCATGAACATGCTGGAGGCCCAGAGGAGATCAGGCTGGCCTGCCTTATAAAACAACAACAAAAGCATCACAAAACAATAACAACAACAAAATAAACCTAAACGGTTAAACCAATGACCATGAATTAGAATGACTACATTTATGTAATAACCACTCAAGACAAAAGGAAAAAATAATCTCACTAAAAACAACCAAAAAAAAATTTGGATGCCTAATTTGTAAACTCGGAGTTGCAGGGGGGAAATCTCCCTATTTGGAGTTTATTGCCTCCTGTTGTGCATTTAATTATGATTAATCATTCTAAACTTTACAAAGGGTTCTGTCACAGCTAGTGGAACAAACTTTTCATCATCCTTACGGAATAAAGACACAGCTCTAGAGAGTGACCTCAAAACAACCTTGAGTTGACACAGTGTTTGTGATGTGGGATCCAGATTAGGAGTGGGGCTCCGCAGCCCATTGCTGCTCAGAACCCTAATATCAGCGGCTAAGATCCCCTTTGAAAGGCTTGCCATGGAGCAGGACACCTGTAGCTGTGTGTACATGTACAGTTCTTTAGTTAACCCCATACCATACACTGGCCAATAACTCCTAATTCATTGCCATAAACGGGTAGCATTTTGCAGATTGGGAAACTGAATCTCATAGTTTAAGTAACTGTTGGGTGAGACTACCCCTGATGACACCGCTGGGCGATTGTATTTGGATCTGTAGAAACAATGTGGCCTCTTTTTTTAAAAAAAAATCAGGCTTGAAATTGTTGCAAATTGAAGTCAAACTGGACATTGCAGCCACTAGTTCTTTACTGATGTCAGTTTCAAATTCGCCGAATACCTTACATATGCTCCACACATTTTTGAAAAATCAAAGCATTTTGGAGCTGCAAAATATCTTAGGGATTTTTAGATTCAACCTTCCTCCTTCCCACCCACCCCACCCCCATTCAGTCATTAACTCCATTCCATGGAGTCTAGTCCATGAAATAGTCCTGGGGAACCTTGCACTAGGCACCCAATGAGGAAACAAGGCCCCCCCCACCCCAAAGAGAAGCTTTAATCAAGGTTGTCAGCTGGAACAAGAACATAAATTGTCTGCCTCCAGGACTCAGTATAAGGTTGTGCAGGTTGGGCGCTGCACAAAAGCAACTGGGTGAGGGAATAACTGGGGTGTGAAATCTAGTCCACAGCTGGACTGAAGGGAGGTGTGTCTTTTTCTTTTCACAAAGGGACCATCCACTCACTGCGCCAAGCGGGGGCCACATCTGCTCTGAGAAATGTTTGGATGCAGAAGGGCAATGTTTAATGAACAGAGGCCCAGATTGCTGAGTGTTTTATGGGTTAATTGATTCCGTCTGCTTTTTTGTAAGCAGAAACAGAGTGCTTTTTGCTGTTCTGTGATCTACTGTCTCTTCGTATTTCTGCATCTTTGTATCTATAGAAGCAAATGGATAAGAGGGCTAGTGCTGAGAACAGGAGCAGCATTCACTCACTCTGGGGACACCCAAGGAATGTCCCATACATACCTATCTGTGAGACTAAACTATAAGTCCTTGTCTATTTCTGCTGCTAGCAGTCCTGCTGGAGTCTAGTCCATGAAATAGTCCTGGGGAACCTTACACTAGGTGGAGGTCATGGGGCACCACAGTCAGAAATCTTCCTGGGCCACTGGGAGACTATGATCTAGCGCATTCACTCATTCATTCATTCATTCATTCACAATCTTTGAATGTTTGTGCCCATGGACATATGCAGATATTAGTGAAGAGCCTTCAAGAAATGTGCACAGAGAAAAGAAAGGGAGGCCATTGAAACACCTTAAAAATGTTTTAAAAAATAAGACCAGAGAGGCTTTGCACACAAATAACTAAGCAGGTGGATCAGGCATATTTGTTAGTTTTTTGTTTTTTTGTCTTTTAGAATAAGAAAAAAATTAGGCACTCTATTTGCATTTTCAAAAGCCCTTTACTTTGTCTTCTTGTGAATTCTCTTGGTGCTTCCTGGGCTCTGCCCTGGGCTGAGTTCCTGCTCGTAGCTCCCAGAGCCCCCAGAGAAGCAGAATATTAATGCCTACTCCTTCCACCCTTCTAACCTTTTGGAGAAGACCGGCCCTTCCTGCTCTTACTTCTTAGGGGTAGGGCTTCTGAGCAGTAACCAGGAGAGTCACATGAGCCTGAGCCTCATTTGAGAATGACCTGGGCCAGTGTACATCTGCCAGGTGTCTGATTCTTTATGGAGGAGGCCTTATCTGATTAGGCCTTAATTAAATACTAGATATTGGAAAGTAGAACATCATTAGAGGTTGCTAATGGGCACTCCATCACCCACCTGCATTATCCACTGAGAAGACAGGAAATAAAACCAGTGACCTGTGTGCCCTTTGCCAGCTAGAAGCCTCCAAGCCAAATTAATTTTTGTGAAACTCAGATTCAGAACAGATGTGAGTCTGGATTTTGTTTTTATAACTCCCGAATACAGGTCATTGTTCAATGTTCACAGCAAAGCTCAGGCACTGTGTAATTTTTCAGAAGATGGTGCAGAAAGAGGGTTTCAGAGCATGAATATGGGTAACCTTCCAGAGGAAATGTTCAGATGGAACCAGCCAACCGATACATCACCCTGTCAATTTCACAGCGGCATCTAAGAGAGCTTTTGCTTTGATCTTTATAACAATGAATACAAAGAGAGACCCCAAAATTAGATGTATGTGTATGTCAAGTGATCAAAAACCCAACTAAGAAGTTCCTCCTGCCACAAGTCTTGGAAAGTCTTGGAAGCGACTCATTAGCAAAAGCCATTTAGAGCAGGGGCTTTGTCGCAGCCCATCCCCTCCGCCTCTCCATGGGCTGGTCAGCAAGGGGGAAATGTCAGAAAATGTCTACCTTCTGCTGGGGCCTGGCCCTGAGCCTGGCCTTCACATGTGTTATTTCATTTCATCAGTACAACCACCTGCTAAGTAGATGTTCTTTTGGGCTGTTCTTTGGGGAATTGGAGTTTGGTTTGGTCAAGTAACTTGTGGAAAGTAAAACAGCTAATAATGAGAATATCCAGCACTTACCAGTAAACCCAGGTTTTTCTGACTGCAGAGCCCATGTTCTTGTCAAAACACTATGTTGCCTCTGTCATGAACCCACTTGGGGGGGGGGGGGGGTGAATCTGGTTGTGAACAGATGCAAGAGCAATAGAGGAGTCACCCCAGCCTTCTCTGGGTCTGAATCATCATGGAGTCTAACACGGGTGGGGGTCATGAGAAGAGTGTTAGAGTCATGGCATATCAGACCTGGGCCCTATTTCCACGGCCACATGTAACCTCTCTAAGCCTCAATTTCCTCAGTTCTAAATAAGAATAAAGTGTTTATTTCATAGTGTTATTGGGAGGATTACTAGTACATAATATGGTGCATGTTCTGGGCTTAGTCCACCACATAGTAACTGCTCAATACATTTTAGGGAGAAAATGTGCAAGTAGCTTTCAATTCCCTTAGTATAAACTAGCATGGTGAAGGGTGAGGTATGTCCCACCCTAAAAGTAGAATCAGAACCAGGCTAAAACCCATAGATCGAGCCCTGCAAAGTGTGGCCTTGGGGTTCGTATTTTCCAGTCATCACCATATTTAAAGGTAAAGTGGAAGAGGTGGAGCTGCCTGTGGAGAAGGTAGACATCATCATCAGCGAGTGGATGGGCTACTGTCTCTTCTATGAGTCCATGCTCAACACGGTCATCTTTGCCAGGGACAAGTGGCTGGTAAGTGTCCTGCATGCTCTCCCCTTATTGGTCTCTGGCTATCTTGCTGTTCTAGCCCTGACCTACAGCCTAGAAGAATATGAGGACTTGGACTTGAAGATAACCTCTTCCAGTCACCCTCTTTAAACGAGGTCTGCTTCAGGGGACAGAATGATGGTCCCTGGGCCCAATATGTCTAACTGTCACAATGTTCTTCTGTAGGTCTAACCTTGGCTTCTTTCACCATAATTGAAGCCCATTCAGTGTTGTCAAGACAAAAGTCTATTCTAGTCAACAAATACTTAGGGCTGCATGGCTGCCAGAGAGCCCAGAGTGCTTCTGACCTTGGCTTCTCCAGGCTGAAAGGTCATACCATCTTCCACTGTTCCCCAGTGGACTTACCTTCTCCCACTTTATTTGCTCTATTGATTCCATCTGGGTCCCTCAGTTCTCCTTACTCCAAAATAAAAAGTGAGCATTGTCAGCTGAGCCCTAAATGGCCAAGGTGACAGTCTGCTGACTGAGAAGTGTTGGCAAGGGGCTGCCTGTCTGGTAACTCTATGTGCAGTTCAAAATGTGATGTCTTTGTCAGGTGAATAGATTACGAGACCCATTTCCCCACAATTCATCAACAGAAACCTGGAGGGCTTATGTTTCCAGACCGGGCAGCTTTGTACGTGGTAGCAATTGAAGACAGACAGTACAAGGACTTCAAAATCCACTGTAAGTCTCCTTTCGTTCTCTGTTGGGCTTCCCCCCACCCCACCCCTCTACATTTAGGGTGGGAGGCACATCAGGGGGCCTGAGATGAGCAGCTAGCTTATAAGCATACTGCTATGTGTGTGAAGTTCACCTGAGTCTTTCTGGATTCTTCTCTCTGTAATGTTTTCCTCTAGTCCCAAAGGTGGCAGGTCTGCAGAAAGAAAATAAACTATATGGCTAGTGTAAGGTAAATGTCCTGGGGGAGAGAACAAATGCAATGTTAATGAAAAATAAGTTAAAACCACAGAAGCTGAGCTTTTGCACAGAATAGCAGGCCAAGTGGCTGGAAGTCAGTAGGTTAGTTATCCCCAAAGTCCACCACAGGGCTCAGAAATGCCAGATCTCTAGCCAGGCCAGTCATCCTGACTCCTGCCGTCATACTACTCAAACTTACCAAAATGATACCCACTCTCTTTCACAGTAAGTACAATATGTATTCTCCTCTGAGGTTCTTTTGGGGAAGCAGTGGGGGCGGGAAGAGATGGAGATTGCACGTGTGTGTGTGTGTGTGTGTGTGTGTGTGTGTGTGTGTGTGTGGTGGGAGAGTCTCATATCCAAATCTGTGTTCATAATACTTTATCGGCTGAAAACTTGTTTTCTTAGATTTAAAAAAAAGCCAAAAAATACCTTCATTGTTTTATCTGGTCCAAAAAGGACTGTTTTGTTCTATTTAATTTGAAGGATAAAATTTCTCAGTGACACAATTCTGGTCCTCAACGAGGTTATACCAAACCTCCTAACCTTTCATAAGGTTAAAAATGGCCACATCTCCCCAACCAGAACTAAACATGACAAAGCAGCAAAGCACCCCTCATACAAGTAACATGCACATAATTCAGCCCAAAGCACGAGGCAGAAACTCCAGAAGTCTGATGAACCCAGCAGTTCCTGCCCCTCCAGTGGTCCAGCCCTCTTTGGCAAGATGACTGTGGAGGGTCACAGACTGAGCAGATGAGTAAATGCTTCCTGCCCCGAGAGGCTGAGACTCAATCGCTCGGCAAATTGATTCACAAAATGCCTTTAATAGCTGTTAGTGCTACTGATGAGACCTTAGCTGGACTGTGCTATGGAATGTGTGTGTTCACACCCTTCTGGAAATATAACATCAAAGCATGATGTTGAGGTTCAGAAGAAGACAGAAATGGACGGTTGTTTGAGTCTCTGTGCCCTCTCTCTTCAGCCAGTCTGGCATCATTTCTAACATTTGACAGGATTCAGAGGTAGGGTGGCCTAGGTTAGATGGTTATGCTTTGAGGTCAGCCAGCCTTGGGTTCAAATCCTCCCTGGGTCGCTTTGAACAAATTACCTAACATCCTTGAGCCCAAGTTAGAGATAATATCACCAATCCCGTAAACCTGTCATGAGGATAAAGTGAGATGATGCATATTGAAGGACACAGCAGTTCTTGGTGCTCTGTGGCACCAGACTGGTCTAGTCTCTGAACTGTCGTTCACTAAGCCCCTTTCTGCTCCTGGCTCTGGCTGACTGCTAAGCTTTCTGGCCTCCAGTGGCTCAGAATCTGGGACAAATGTGCTCTCATGGTAGGTTGCAGAAGCAACTCAACAGTGAATACTGATCAAATATATGTCTAAATAGGGCACATTTTGCCCTGGAGCTGCATTATAACGCTGCTCTTGGAGTTCTTGCTGTGTGACTGCACCGAACAGTGTTCTGAGGAGAACTTCCAGGGCAGTCTTCATTCTCACGTGCACTTAAGTATTTATTGAGCTCCGACCCTGGGCACAGCTCTTTAAGGAATTTCCACGTGGTTTAAAAGCAAACATATCTTTTCCTCCTCAGTGGTGTTTGGGAACCTCTGGCATGTGCACCTTTTAATGAGCAAGTGGGGCCAGAAGAGGACCGGGCTGGCCCTGCGAGGTACTAGGGGCACTATGGCTACCCAGGTGCCAGCCCAGAACTGGAGATCATGTGATTGAGCCTTGCACTGTCTGTTGCAATTTTCATAGCTTCTGGGAAAGAAAAAAAAATTGAAACTCAGCCTCATTTTCTCTTGTGGAATGCTTGCTCTAGAGTATGAAAAAAAAAACAACACACACACACACACAAAACAGAAAAAAATATTAAACACACATTTAAAATCTATTTAAAATACAGTTAAGCAAGGGCGGGGGGGAAAAAAAGGACACTTATGTAATACCCTTTGTAATACTTTAAGCGAAAAATAAAAAAATATAAAAAAAAAAATAAAAAAAATAAAATAAAATACAGTTAAGTTTTCTATTTAAATGTGCTTTTAAATGATATGCTTTTGTTTTTAGTAAAGCAGGCAAACCCATTTAGAAATCAGTTTCAAATAAATGAAGATTTTGGTTACTCTGAGTTCTAAATAAAAAGTAAAGCACAAAGGTTGTTGGTTGCTAAGGGAACAATTGTAAGCAAATTTCATTTGGCTTAAGAACCAGCTAAAAAAGAAAGATCTGAAGTGGGGCAGGAAAGTGAAACATGCCCAGTTCTTTCAGAAAATAAATTGTTAGGAAAACAGCTTCCTTTCCTCCCCTCCCCTCACCTTGCCTTTCCTCCCCTCCCCTCCCCTCCCCTCCCTTCCCCATCTTTCTCCTCTCCTCTCCTCTCCTCTCCTCTCCTCTCCGAAAATAAATTGTTAGGAAAACAGCTTCCTTTCCTCCCCTCCCCTCCCCTCCCCTCCCCTCCCCTCCCCTCCCCTCCCCTCCCCTCCCCTCCCCTCCCCTCCCCTCCCCTCCTTTCCTCTCCTCTCCTCTCCTCTCCTCTCCTCTCCTTTCTCAACCACATGCAACATGGGAACACAAGAATGAGTAAAATACAGAACCTGCTCTCAGTTTGCTTACCAACTACTAGAGAACATAGAAAGTGAGACAAATGACTGGTGTACAGCTTATACTAGGCTCACAATACATATTTTGTTGAGTGAATGAATGAGTAAACAAATGAAGGCATAAAAGTAAACCACAGAGGAATATGGAAGGCATACTGTTTAAACTTGAGAAAGGAGTAATCATTTTTAAAATTCTACTATAATTTGGCAAAAGTAGAGTTATAGACTCTCAAATTTTGAAGGAACTGTTGTAAGTATTCTGTTTGAATTCTTACCCAGTACATGAATCTCAACCAATACACGAATCTACAAACTGCTGAGAGTCAGCGGGATGGATACTCTCTTCCTGGCTTATGAGAAAAGGATGAAAAGGAAGGCCTCCTGTTGAGCCAGTGGGGCCTGCAGCTGGAGGGGTGGAGGGCAGGACCTCTGGGAAGGCTCGGTTGCTGTGCATGGTTTCTCCTCCACTTTTACCTCCAAAATCCAGAGCTCTAGCCTCTGGCTCTGGCCTAATTTAAACAAGGAGTTGACTTTGTTCCTAAGAGCCTAAAATATATAAAACGATTGTAAACACCTTTTCTTCTGTCTAGAGAGAAAGCTGTCAGTGCCACCTGGTGACATTTGCTTTGTTCTCTGAGGCGGTCCCATTAGCCCCAGCAGAGAAACTCAAATTGCTGGGCCAGAGTTGGGAGGGAGAATGGAGCTATAGTTCTTGTCAATGAAATGTGAAATTTGTTCTCCAGTACTTCACATTTCTTCTCCTCCAGTTGCTTTTGAGATTTTCCCTTTATTTTGATATTCATCAATTTGACTCTGATGTGTCTAGGTATGCTTTTAGTTGTTTCTATTCTAGTTGGGGTTCCATGGAATTCTGGGATCTGTGGGCTGACGATTTCATTAGTTTAGGGAAAATTTCAGCTATTATCTCTACAAATATTTTTTTTCTGACTGATTCTTTCTTTTCTTCAGGGACTCCAATTACACATATGTTAGAAGTTGTTAGATATTGTTTCATTGATCTTGGGTGATCTATTTTTTGTTCATTTTCCAAAAGAATAGCAGAAATAGATGAATAATATGTATTCCCAGGAAAGAATATGTCTTTTTCTCCACTGAGTTACTAAAGTGGTGATTTGAGTCAACTTAGTATGTAGTTTTGGTAGGCCTGGGCTTCATTGCTGCTTCAGTTATATTCATTGCACCCTGGTGCAATTCTTTTAAAGAGTTTGTTTCAATCCTTAAACAAAAGTTCACAGATCCTTCTGATGTTATTTTTTAAATCACCAGAAAAATAATAGCAATATTTTCTGGTAGTAAATGGACCTTACTCCACATTCACTCATTTGGTAGATAAGATAGACTTGCAATAAAAATTAATCTGTTTGATTTGCATTATCTCCCATCCCTGCTCCACTTCGTTCAAGGAGGTTTTGGAAAATGAATGGTCAGCAGAAAAGAGAGGGAAAAATCTAATGTCCTGGCTGATCTGTCTCCTGAATAACTGAAGATAGTATAGTCTAGCTGTGGACATAAGACATGAACTAACCCCTGGGGGAAAACAAAACAAAACACCTAAAACATAGGATATTGTGAAGCAGTATGGACACTAAACATTTGGGAATGAAAGAGCATTATATGTGGGTCTGTATTGAGCCAGAAGCTACACAGTAAGTACTGAGGATACAGGAGGGTCCCATGGTGGGGAATGGCTGGAAAGGGTTTATTAAAGGCCGTGAGACTTCAAGCTCACCCTTGAAGGACTGGGAGGAATTTTAAAGGTTATCTAACACAAAGTTTCCACACTGTGGTTGGAATTGCCTTGTATAGATTTGTAAAGTTACAGCTTTTGAGTCTGGAGGTTCTGAGTCAGTAGGTCTGGTTTGGGCCCAGGTATCTGTATTTTTAAAAGTGTCCCAGATGATTCTGGAACACAGAAATAGTGACCCAAACTCTTCATTTTACAAACAAGCTCAAGGAAAAGGTTGATCTGCCCATGGTCACACAACACTAATGGTGGCAAAGCCAATGCTCCAACCATATAGTGACAACCACCATCTGTCAACCTCTCTCTACAGGCACTGCCTTACACTCTGTATGTTTATTATCACGTTTAATCCTCATAACAACAGAAGTCATCATCTCCATTTTAAAGAAGAAGAAAGCAGCTCTTTGAGAGGCTAAATTCTTGTGAAGGTTACACAGCAAATAAGTGGCAGAGCCCAGATTTGAACTCCAAAGCCCAGGGCTTTTAACTATTACATGCACAGACTCTCTCAGGCATTTGCCCAGCACTTGCACTAAATTCAACTTATGTCACAGCCGCGAGGGAGTAAGAGCAGGAGCATGACGCAGGCTCTTAAGGAAGGATTCTAGACAAAGGCAGTGTGTCTTGGTGAGAAAGTTCCATCTGGGGAGAGGATGGGTAGGTATTTCCAGATTTTAGAGGGGAGTCTGGTGCATGTCCTGTTGCCGACCGAGCAGCTTCCTTCTCCAAAAGCAGGTTTCAATTGGGAATTTGGCACCAGCCTCGGGTGATTTAACGGGGTATGACTGGCATCTTATCCTCAAGCCAGACTTTCACAAGTGCTCACCCTCTGGGAGACGGTGATGTTCTCTGCCTCTTCTCCCTGTGGAAGGTCTTTATGTGCCTTAGAAAAGCATGAGTCAAAGGAACACAGCTCTCACTGGCTGTTCTTTGTTCCCTCCCCACACACCCCCTCTCCCAAACATATCTTAAGGACATAGCTCCCTAAGATAACACGTATTTAATGAAAAATTTAAAAAATTTAATCCTGAAAGATTTTAGGAAAAAGCATCTCTCCTTCAATGCATTTCTAAGCCCGTCTGTAAACGGAGAGTTCAGCTGCCTAGTAACTGAGGCCTCTGCAGGCCACCCTCTGCACTGTTCGGAGGGGAAATTGTATTCCCAGTGCTGTCACATTGGCTCAGTGCAGCTGAACGGTCAGGGGAAAAGCTGGGTTTGTCCCCTAGTGCCACTATCTCCCTGGGCCTGATACTGCATGTGATCCAGATGCCAACTTCTTCCAGCCCTAATTCCTCATCTGATATATACAGGTATCCATCCTCATGGGGTTTCCGGGGAGCTGAAGTGAAGAATCTGGCCTGGGCTTGGTGGTCACTCAATGATCACAATGATTATCACCATTTAAGGATGGTCTTAGGCCATCAGACTTGCATTCATTTACTCACCAATCCTGAACCCTAAAACTTTCTTTCAAAGCATCTTATGAGCTGCCCAAGAGGCCACCGAGCACCGCTGGGATGGTGTGTGCTCACCTGGGGGGTATTTCTTATGGGAGAGCCCCTTAGTGAGAGCATCATGGCATGTGAGAGAGGTAGAGACTCTCATGGACACCCCCTCATTTTGCAGTTAAGAAAGCTGAGATTCAGGGAGGTTAGGGAGTTTGCACAAGGCTTAACCAATAAGTGGTGGTGCTGAGATTCAAACTGTAGCCTCTTTCACTTTACATGCCCATGTTTCTCTCTGCTGCATTGAAGGTTCAGTGAGCGGGGACTGGAGAAGGGCGAGAGATGGCCATCCTAGGTGTGTAGCATGGCTGGAGCAAAGGCACTGACATAGAAATGTGGGTGCCAGTAAGAGAGTTCAGAGGAGACTTTGTTAGCTCAGAGATGGGGACAGGAAAGTAGGTGTAGGAAGACAGGTAATTTGGATTCTATTCTTAGGCCTGTAGCATTCTAGCTGTATGACCCTAGAGAAGTTTCCCAGCCTCTCTGAGCTTTATTTTTTTTTCTTTTTTATTTATTTATTTATTTTTGCTACCATAGACTCTGTTTTATTTAGTTCTTCCTCAGTTTTGCTTCCTAATTAGTATTCTTTTATATTTTCCTACATTGTACATATATATTTTATTTTTGTATTTTTTTTCTTAAGTATCTCAACAGTCAAAAACACTTGTCACTTATATGTTTGCAGTTGGTAGAATACTAAACTATACTGTCTCCCTCCCCAGTGTTAAGAAATTCATAATTAAATATCAAAATACAAGTGGGCAGCGGTGTGTATCTATTTTTTTAAATATATTTTATTGATTTTTCACAGAGAGGAAGGGAGAGAGATAGAGAGTTAGAAACATCAATGAAAGAGAAACATCGATCAGCTGCCTCCTGCACATCTCCTACTGGGGATGTGCCCGCAACCCAGGTACATGCCCTTGACCGGAATCGAACCTGGGACCTTTCCGTCCGCAGGCCGACGCTCTATCCACTGAGCCAAACCGGTTTCGGCCGGTGTGTATCTATATATGGCATTCCATCTAGTTGCATTCATACTGGTTACCTTTTCCTAAAGAGCATTGCCGTATTGAGACTCAAGGTAGAGTTTCTTTTGTACCTAAATTCTTCTCAGTGGCTTGGTATCTTGACACTTTTCATACCTACCTGCCGGGAGCCGGTCCATCCTTGCTGTTTCAAGGGACCTGGCATATATGGCATACTGTTCTTAATATGCTCTCTGAGCTTTAGTTTTCCTAACCATAAAGCAGGACCTGTACACATAAGATAGTGTGAATGAGCATTTGGCACATTGCAAAGCTCTCCACCCAGAGGAGCCATTCTGCTCCTATTCTGATGCAGGGGAGCACGGGCTGGCCCTCACCCTCTTGGGCATGCCGTGCCCTGGTACTCGGGAGGGTCTGGGAGACTTCTGGGGGTCCTGCTGCTGGCCCTCATGTGTTGCTCTGTTCCCTCAGGGTGGGAGAATGTCTATGGCTTTGACATGAGCTGCATCCGGGACGTTGCCATGAAAGAGCCCCTGGTGGACATCGTGGACCCAAAGCAAGTGGTGACCAATGCCTGTTTAATAAAGGTCTGCAGACTCATCTTTCTTGGGCCTGGACATGCTGGGAAACCAGCTGTGCCACCCTGTGGGCATGCCGGGAACCCAGCTGTGCCACCCTGGAGAGTGGTGGGCCTGGAGTAAGGCATTGCCAGCTCCTGCCCGGCCCCGGCCTGGTGTCAAGAACACCTTAGTCAGAGCCTTTGGCATCACAAGATGACCATTCAAAAAATCATATGGGGAGAAACTGGAGTCCACAGTGGCACAGCTGATTGGAGGGTATCAGTACTTGTCCTTTGGTGGTGTTGGGGGCAGGGGGTAATAGAGGAGAGGACATCCTGCAAGCAGGAGGGTCTGTTCAGGGTTGAATAAACTACTCCATTCAGAGGTGAATGGCCCTCTTACAAAAGAAATCTGGTACCGAAATCTGCTGTATAATTGTTATTACACTCCCACGTCCTAGCACACGTGGGACGTCCAGACATTAATACCTACCTGAGTGTTCTTGTTCATACATGATCTAACATTTTTCCCCCAAAGCTTTCTTCAGTGCAGATGCAGTAGTCCCACCTCTGTAGTCCCAGCTCTTCCTGAATGGGTCAGCATCCCCATTATATCAATCCCTAGTGTGTTCTCATTATCATTGAATATCCAAACAAGCCAAATTTGATAGAGTAAAACACAAAGCTCCCCTTGACCTCCCCTCCCTTTCAAGTGCATGCTCCTCTTAGAGGGACCATTATTCACACATTGGATTGAGCTTTCCAGTCCTTTTGCTAAGTCTTTGCATGCATATATGTTAATATATTATGTTGAGTCATATAAACTATTGATATGTGATTTTTTTAAAAGCTAGGAAGACATTAATTTCATATGGTTCAAGCTGACTTTTTTATTTAAAAATCTGGATTCATTTATGTAAGTATTCATCAGCCCACTCAGCCCTAATCTTGCTAAAACATACTTGCCTGCTCTGTCCTGTACATATCACCTCTTTTCTGGAAATATTGGTGTGGAGGACTGGGACATTTACAGCACATGAAGGGGAAGGGGCCCAGGGCCACTGGGGACGAGAGGAAGTTTCTGAAGGACTAATGCTGATTTGGCAGATGAGAAATGTGCTTTGTCCCCAGACTCGGACTTCCTAATACCACAACCCTTGGTTCATAGCGTCACTGTGGCATTTAGAACAACCTCTGGGAGCAAATAAAATAACATGAGCCTCACACAGGTCTCAACAGACTCTGTCTCCCTCTCATAACATTCTATCTAAGAAGTTTGGCTTTGGGTCTAAGTCTCAGACTCTCCACTGACACAGTTCTCACTACTTTATGCGGCCAGTTCCAAGTGCAGGCAGGATTGATGTGGTCAAATGTGTCCTTTAACTTCTTCCTACCAGCCCCTCTGTCCCTGAAAACTCTCCCTTCGGGTGTCCCAAACAAGAACCAGGAAAGCACACTGTGAAACATGCTCACCGTAGTGCAAAACTTTTCTGTGACTACTGTGGAATAGATAGAAATCACTGTACAATTACATTTGTCAAAATGACACGGGGCTGCTCTATTTGACCATTAGGCAGCTGTTTGGCATGCCTTGAGCTTGGTGATAAAATTCCTCAGTATGCTTGGGCCCCAGGTGGCGTTCTGTCCCTGACCTGCTGGTGTGACACTGTACATCTGCTGGTCACACTGTGGACTGGCCTGCTCCCATCTGCCCGGCACCCAGGTTCCTTCCTCTGCCTCATTTCAGCCAGGACCCAGCAAGGGACTTCCCTTTGGTAGCACCTGAGTGCAGCCAGGGACAGCAGCCAGGCTCAGTGAAGGAGGTGCTACAGGCACCAGAAATGCCAGAAAAGGTGCTATCGAACAGCCCCCTGAGTTGAAGGAGGACTGTCCCCTCCTCGGTTCTTGACAGTCTCATAGGAAAGAATTCAAATGAGCGACCCTGGACAGTTGTGTTGTAGTAAAGCGAATAAATTAAAGAAACAAAGCAAGTAACTTTATTAAAGATTCAAGGCAAGCAAATCTATCAAAATACCACTGGCTTACGAAGCACAGATGGCCCTCAGCTAATCTGAGGAGCCCCACCTAGTAGAGTTTCGGCTTTTTGTGCTTTTCTGTCTACCGGTTTTTAAATTCCTCTGCTGGATATCTTGGTACAAACTAGTTTCAAGGGCTCCCTTTTTCTTTGTTTATGGCTTTCCTAGAATTTATAAGAAACATTTGACAGTTTTATCTTGACAAGCCCGAGACTGCCAGCTTTGCAGGGGTAGGGAACAACCGGCCTGAGGGCCATATAATAAGGCACACAAAATCATTTGGTCTGGCCCTGCCAAGGCATTAGGGGTGAATTAATTAAATGTTTGACCAAATAGAGCAGGCTAATTTTTAAGTTGCTAATTTTTAAGTTGATACTTTTGAATGGCCCCTGAATGATGTTATAAATATCCAAATGACCCTTCACAGAAAAAAGGTTCCTCACCCCTGGTTTAAGGAGTGAGATAAAACTCCCCCTACGTTCCCCCTTCCCTGAGATGGATGACTTCTTTGTTTGGTGGGTGAGATAAACTCTCCCTTCTTTCCTTCCCTTTTCCCCCTCCTGCCTTAGCACTTCCAGGTTGATTTAAGCTATGTATTCTCTGGTTAGAGAGGAGAGACATTAGTCATTTGTTCTCAAGCTCCTTGACTGGGAAAGATAAGATCTTGCTGCAAATTGTCTGTAAAGCTGTCCAAACTTATTAGGCGTTTAATTTTCTTGTCTCAGTTTCCCTATTTCTCCAGGTCTGGGATTTTTCCTAGCTCCTTACCACCTTGTTACAGAGGGGCAGAGAGGCTGTGAGGAGGTGTCAGGACTGGAGCTCTGAGCTGCAGTCCTGTCCCTCCCCACCCCCTCCCTGACCTCTGGGAAGGCTAGGGACTGGCTGTGGTTGCTTCCTCCACCAGGAGCACCCCTCCAGCAGCTATCTTGCTAATGTGCTAAGCAATGTCTTGCTGAGTCTGTTGGGAAAACACTTGCCCTTATTCACACACTTAATTGCTATTTTCATGCTATTAACGTTGCAGAGTGTGACACTTTATTATAATTAAGACTCTGTTTTGACCAGACTTCTGCTCTGAGACAACCATTGTAACATTATTTAGTGGTGGGGATAGCAGCAACCAGGGGCTCTTCTGCGTAATTGATGCCTGCGGAGCCCTCCACTTAATGGGGTCACCTGAGGCCAAGCCATGGGGCCTCCCAGGGGTCTCAGAGATGCTGTTGCTGCTGTGAAAAGAAAGCAACCTTCCAGCAAAGGGGTCTGGGTTTGGGGGGAGCCAGGATAACTGCGTTTGATTCTGTAGACTTGGGGTCTGAGAGAGTGGAGCTGAGCTCAGCAGGCTTTGGTGGCTCAGAAGCCCAGCCACAGCTGATCCCACTCTCACAGATGGCCCAACCCCCACTCCTAGAGACCCACTGCCTCCACTGGCATCATTTTAATGTATAGCTCCATTATTTCTGTTTTGGAGGCTTTTATTCCTTCGTAGGTCCCCATTAAGATGCAAATGTCTGCAGGACCTAGTGAACACTGTCAGTTAATACTGTTGATAGTTGACATTTGGTTGATGGACAGTTGAGAGCAAGACCCTATAGTGGTAGAATTCCTGATAGATGGGTGGTGTGTGTGTGAAGTGAGGGGAGTGACAAGGAAAAAGAACCAGGTCTAGATGTGTCACAGAGCCCATTTTCCAGTTCTCCCCTCTTATGTTCAAGCCAATAGGTTTGGGTATTTTTAGCTAAGCCATGAGGACTCATGGGAGATTTTGGATGCAGGGAGCAGCACAGTCTGAATGGATCTGAGAGATGAGTCAGTTGGTATAAAGGAGAGACCTGGGAAAGGGAGGACAGTTGTCACATAGGAGACCTGTCAGGTGCTATGTCACACAGCGAGGGTACACAGACCAGTAAGGTGTAGCCTCTGTCAGTACAGAGCTCCAGTCCAATGGCAGGGGCAAGACAAAGGTGGTGAGGCTGCTGGGATGAGCCAGAAGTAGGGTAAAAAGACCAGGCTAGGCTCATGGCAAAGGGGACAGAGAAAAAATGCCACGGACCTTGGAAAGAGCCTGGAGCCTGGCTAGCTGGCCCTGACTAAGAAGGAGATGGAAAAGTCAGTGAGTGCAGGCACTGGGAGCCTGGTGGACTGTGCCGATGCCATTAATGCCAATACAGTCAGCACAGCTTGCTCTAAGAGTTGTTGAGCTGGTGGGCACCTGTGGACAACATGTGGCCAGGAAGGATAATGATCAACATGAAGGCTGACAGGCACTGGGTCTAAACAGACTTCCTGAACGGGGGTGATGGCCCGAACTAACAGAATGACATGTAATGGAGGGCCCCTGCACCTGGGCCCCAGGAAGAAAGGACAAAGGATTGTGAGAGGGATGAAGTTGGGGGAGGGGATTGGCCGACTAAATGTAGGAGGAGCCAGCAGTGTGCTCTTTGAGGTCAGAGGCTGGTGAAGTTGTCAGAAAGCATGACTTTGGAGAAGCAAATGGAAAAACAGAGGCAGTTGGGGAAGAAAAGGTTTTGGTGTGAGATGGAACAGGCATTCAGCCTATTCTGTGGGTGGAGATTACAGACTGGTGTAGGCTCTCATTCATTACGTAGAGGGATCTACCGATTGGAGGTGTTAGGAAATGGAATTGGTTGCCTGGTAGGTAGTGAATGCATCATCCCTAAGGTGTTCAAGCAAGCACCAGGTGCCACTTCCTGGGAATGCTTCCGAGGGGCTCTTGCATTGGATTCAGGGGACTGGCTTTCTACTTCTGCATGCCCGACCCAGGGCTCATCATTCCCTTAGTTCTGAACCTTACTGGGGCTCCCACATTCCCTTAACCTGTAGTCCCACCTCTTCCCAACTAGTAAGTCAGAGCTCAGCTCTCCTGGGGATGTTAGAGCTGCTCACCACAGACACCACAGGGCTCTGATGGCTGGCTCCCTTGACCACACCTCCTCCTCCTTGTCCCCTGGAGGCAGGACTTCTCTTTGAAGGTCCCCAGGTACATCACATCTGCTTTTCACTTATTTACCCTGGAAACATGTAGAGATAAGGGCATTTCTGTTACGTTACTTTGTCTCTTGCCTGCACTTGTTTCCCACCCTCAGACCCCTGTCCTAATGATTCCCAACAGGTTTTGTCATTTCCAACACATATTCACAATGGTTCCTCTAAGAATCATCCCAGACACACATGTGTCTGGCTCTTGCAGTCCTCAGGACAGAGATCCTTCCTATACACTCCGACCATGGGAAGTCCTCCCTTAGACCTCACTCAAAGCTGCCTGGATGCCTTTTGGGCTCTTGAAAAGTCTGCCCTGTCTCACTGGAGCCAGCAAACAACAGCCAACATTCTTCACATAGAAAAGAACGGCACAGAACAAACTTTTATTACACTTGCTCCCCACACAACATTGATTTTCAGCCACTTCCCAGCTGAAATTGTTAGAGTTATTAGTTCTTCATTCTCCAGCCAGCACTGAAAATCTCTCACTTCTTATTTACCCTTTTCCCTTTCTCTCTCCCTTTCTCTTTCCCCTCCCTCCCTCCCTCCCTTCCTCTCTTTCTTCCTCTCTTCCTTTCTCTCTCCCTGTTTTCCCCCCTCTCTTTCCCTCTCTCTCTCTCTCCCTCTCTTTCTTTCTTTCTCTCTTTCTTTCACTATCCAGACTTGTTATAAATGCCCACCAGGACTTCCTTTAGCTCAGTCAGTGACTGTGGGGAGGCTCAGGTCCTCATTCTTGTGATAATACTTGATGCCTCCTACTGCCAGGCGCTTAAATATCAAACATCTGGGAAATGAGAGTCTGGTTCCCCCAGATTACTGGGAGGACGTGATAAAGCACAGATTGCTGTTCTAGTTCAGTAGGGCTAGGATGCCCTCCCTTCAGAATTTGTTCCCAGGTGATACCCACACTTGTCATTCTGGGACCTCACTGTGAGAACCACTAGATGAACATACGATGCTGAGGTGGACCACTCTGAGGACATTCGGGTTGGGTTTAGGATTGCTCTGTTGAATGAAGCTTCTTTTCTCTCCCCTCCCCCCTCCACTGCCCCCACCCCCAACAGATTTACCCTTTTAATTTTGTCCCCCCCTGGGTGCTGACTCATATCTGTTTGTATCATTGTTCCACCCTAGAAAGGATGGAGGGGGTCATAGGGAGGGTGGTGGGGTGGGCCTGGGGAGTCACCCTTAAGTAATGACACCCTGGAGAGTGTACGGTAGGCAGTCCCCTGCAGAATGCAGCTGCCCTGGTGGAAGTGCTAAGTGTCTGGCCTTCTCTCTTCTCTGGGCTGCAGGAGGTGGACATTTACACGGTCAAGACGGAAGAGCTGTCGTTCACGTCTGCCTTCTGCCTGCAGATCCAGCGCAATGACTACATCCACGCCCTGGTCACCTATTTTAATATTGAATTTACCAAGTGCCACAAGAAAATGGGGTTTTCCACAGGTGAGCCTTTTGTTGGCATTCCAGATCCTCCCTTCCCCCATACTGAGGCATTGTGGGGAGTGACACAGGGCTGGCCCCAACTTGGGGAAAGGACCTGGGCATTAGCCAGGGGCCCTTAGCTGGCATCTTTAAGCCTTCTGCAGCTGCGGAGTAATCTGAGAAAAATGCATGTCACCAAAATTTTGGCTGCCCAAGGAGAAGGTAAATAAAATTGTGGCTGCCATGGCCAGAGCTATGAGAGAGCATTAAGTGAGGAGAGGCAGGGGTTTGGGCCCCTTTTCAAGCGCACATTTGCTCATTCAGCATTTCTAGAGCATATTTTATGAGGGGGTAAGGAAACAGAGTGGAATTAGGTTTCTCTCCCCCTGCCATGCCTCACTACAGATTCAGTAGACTACAAGTGGCGTCTCTATGTGTCCTGCTTTCTTCACTACGTCCACCCAGTCCATCCTCATTAATTCCCTGGCAGTGGTCCCCAAAGACCACCACATTCTCCTTCCCAGCCCTCCTGCAGAGGTGCCTCACTGCCTGTAGCAGATAAGCCCAAATGTCTTAGCCTGGTAAGTGGGGGTTCGGGGACTTGGCCCTAGCCCACTCCTCCAACCTCAGTTCTCACCCTTCCTTAGCTTTGCCTTCCACCCCTGTTCCATTCACACAAAGCACTTTGCAGTTCCCTGAACTCAGTGAGGCTTCTTAAGTCTCTGGGAATTGCCTCGCATACCCCAACTCCGTGTCCACCGCAGTGTGCCATGGGAGCAAGAGGGTCTTTACATTATGTCAGAAGCTCTTGTTATGTCCTTTCCTCCAGATGGCTGCCTTCTCCCTGTGTCCTCACGTGGCCTGTCCTCTGTGTGCACACATCCCTGGTGTCTGTGTATGTTCTAATCTCCTTCTAAAAGGACATCAGCCAGGTTGGATTAGGGCCCACCATAAGGGCCTCATTTTAACTTAATCACCTCTTTACAGGCCCAGCTCCAAATACAGTCACATTATGAGGTATTGGGGTTAAGTATGTGAATTTGTGGGGGACACAATTTAGCCCGTAACACCTCCCCTGTCCCCACCTTCTCACCTGGCCCACCCCATCAGAGGTCTCATCTCTCAGCTCGGTATTACTTGATCCCCTCCTTCCCTCTTGGGTCAAGCTTAGGTGTCCTCCTCGGGCTCCCTAACACCCTGGGCTTAGATCTGTCATGGCCATGTTTAAAGTGATGCTTATACATAATAGCAAAGAGGAACCAAAGGGTATAAAAAGTCCTTTCCCCATTCATCCCAATTTCACACCTCAGAGGCGTATATTGTTAAGGATTTCTTTGTTATCCTTCAAAAAAATTTCAATGGTGCACAATGTTAGAAATAAAGTGAGCCCCCCAAGTCAGGGGTCCTGGTAGAACACAAAACATACACAGGAGCCAGGCAGCAAGGCAAATATCTTTACTTCTATGTAGAAAGGTGCACACACATGGTCTGGAAGCGTGTGTACACTGAGCAGGCAGTCTGCTTGGCTTTATAATCCCTGACGCACGTGACCCATCCCTCACTCTTGATTGGAGCTCAGGTGCACAGTCTTTCATGATTGGCTAATTCCAAGGGAGGGGGTTGGCCTTTGCTGTTTCAAGGTGGCGGCCCCCAGGGGAGCTGCAAGCCATGCGGCCAAAATGGCGGTTGTCTACACTGTTCTTTGACAGAAAAGATGATTTGTTTATTCTCACAACACACACATCCACATCTATATACACCTTTTTTATCCTTTTTATTTGAAATAATTATAGACTCACAGGAAGTTGCAAACATAGCACATAGAGTTCTGTGAACTCTATGCCCAGCTCCCCACATTGGTGGCATCTTACATAACTAGAGTACAATATCAAACTACAGCATTTAAAGAAACACAGGTTGGCTCAGACCGTACACTGCCTTCTGCTACCTTTCCTTTATTTAACAGTATGTGTTGGTGGTACTTCTATAGCCTCACAGAGATATCTGCTTTCTTTTTTTAAACAATGACACAGAAATTCAATGTAAGGAGTGCCATCATTTACTCAACATTTCCACTCATTTTTTTCAATCTTTGGTCTCCCCATGAGTCGGGATCACATCTCATTAGTCTCTGCTCTCCTGGCTTCTATGGCAGTGCTTGGATCATAGCAGATCCTAAACAAATCTCTATGAAAAAACAAATCTCTATGGGGATGTATTCAGAGTCACCACTCACGTGGGGTCACTCTGGGACCTGGGAGCATGCAGTTGGGGTTAGTGTGCACGTGGCAGGAATTGGTGGGTTCTACCAGAATTCAAGGATGTGATTTATTCACTTCAGAAGACCTGGTGACAATTCTCCTCTCTCACCTGTTGTCCGAGCAAACGACTTACCTAATCCCTCACAGAAGGGCTTTTTCCAGAGCCAGTGTCTCCCAACTGCCAATGCCAGGGTTTTCTCATCTCTATCAGCCAGGCCGGTCCTGGCGCTCCCTGCCCTGGCGAAACCAGAGGTCCAGTCTGGGTCGATACAGGGTTACCCTTCTTCGAGGGGCAGCCTGCAAGCTCATCTTCTTGGTGGGTAGGGACAGCCAGGACAGAGCAGGGAGGTTTTACCTAGACCCTGGCAAGTGGAGAAAACTCAGCCTCATGTTGGTGGGGAGTGGGGGCGGTGAGAGGGTCAAGGAGCCTGTGTGGGGAACAGGGCTGTGACTGGAGGCCAGGAGTGGAGTCACAGAGGCTGGCTCTGCCCCCTCCACCACCAGGATGATGGCCTGCCCTGCTGCAGGTGCTGAGGAAGGGGCAGTCTGGGAAAATTCTGGCTTTTGAAAGCTGGGGCTCCAGCTGTGTAGGTCTTATCTGGGGTCCTTGAGGTCAAGCAGACAGCCTGGGGAAATGGCTCTCTGGCTCTGTGGTGTCAGGGACAACATTCCTGATGCCCCCCACAAGCAGGAGTCTTGGTTAAATTCAAGTTCAGAATCAAAGAAGTCAGCCCTGGGCTGCCTGGGAAATGGTGAGAATTTCAAGTGCTAAGTCTCCAACCACAGCTTCTTTCCTTCCTGTTCTTGGACACACCCACCATAGTCCCACACAAGCCCCTAGGAGAAAGAGGATAACGAGTATGTTTTATAAGCTCAAAGACCTTGGGTCCAGTTCAAGGTCTGAGCATGCCTCTTTGTCTTTCACAGTCCTGGCATTATGTTCCCTCCCCTGTGCACAGAATCCCAGGAACTTAGGTTCTGAAAGGACATTCGGATTTCCTGTAGTCCTCATTTCCTGTGTCTTGGAGTAGAAGCTCTCAAAGTGTGGCCCATGGACCAGCAGCATCAGCATCACCTAGGAACTTGTTAGAAATGCAAATTCTCTGCCCCCCCTCCTAGACCTACTGAGTCAGTAATTCTGGGGTGGGGCCCTGGAATCTGTGCCTTAAGTTCTGCGGGTGATTGTGATGCACGATCAAGGTTGAAAACCACTGCCCTTGTGCAAGCCTGCCTCACCAGGGCTGACGTCCTCTGGAAAGGCAATTCCATCTCCTGACTGCGGTATGCCTCTGACTGCATGCCTGCTGGCTGACAGATCCCTCCTGCTGCAGCCTTTCCACATATATAGTGATCAGGGGAAATTAAATTGTTTAGCTGCTTTCTCAGACACCCTGAGATGTCAGCATGGGGTTTTGCTTCCCACACATAGCAGATGTCCTTACCAGTTAGCAAGGGCTTGGCAGTGGGCTTTACACAGACCCTCTGCACTCTGACACCAAGGAAGATTTCCTTTCTGTTTCTAAGGATCCCAGATGCACAGAACTGAATCAATATTAATTCTTGGTTCATGACATACTGTCATAGTTGGGTCATGCATGGTTCACTTTTTGCTTATTTATTTATTAACTAGAGGCCCGGTGCACAAAATTCATGCATGGGGGTGGGGGGTCCCTCAGCCCCGCCTGCACCCTCTGCAATTCGGGACTCCTACACCTTTTTCTTATCTAGCTAACCTCTTCACATTTAAAAAAATTAACTGAAATACCACCTACTCTAGGAAATCCTCTTTGAACAAATATCTTTACAATCTGTATTAAGTATTTTCATAGTATATTATTCTTTTTCTTTAACAGCAACTTAGAGTGGATGCAATGTGCTCCTCATTCTTGCATCTGAATTTTTTCTTGTTGCTCTTGTAATAGCGAAGCTTATCCAATTTACATTTGCCTTTCAAGGGCTTATATTTGGTTCAGTTTCTAGTTGGCTCCCTGCTTTTTATTTTAAGCAATAAATTTGGGTTGTGATAGTAAGCCTCACTTGTAATCAAGCCTGCAGGTCTCCCTATCTGAATATTTCTATAATACCTATCACTTTAACATACCAGAGATTGTGTTCATTTATAGAAAATAACAATGTCACCTGATCATTTGCTCTTATTGTAATATTTTATAGCAAGATGTATTATTCTAGTAATTTAACTATTACAAAACTGAGGCGTGAAGAAATAAATCACATTAAACAATAAAGAATGACTCAAATATCAAAACTTAGTGCACTTAGGGCCTCCCTTGTTCTGTGCCTCAAATATCATAGCATAGTACACAGTTCATATGGAACTCAGCTTCCTTTAAAATAGGAAGGGATCCCATACTCAGAAAGCAGCTACTTCCACACATATTTTTTTTTTATTTAATTCACAGCACATACTCTTTGTATTAATTGTTGTAAAATCATCCTAGCAATTGCCTCTGTTCCTCTCTGTATTGTTGCCTTACATTCTGATGTCATTACTGCGCTTTTATCATCCACTCACTCTAATAAGATTGTGAATTATTTAAGGGCAGAGATCATGACTTGAGCTTGTGTGTTCCCTGTCATGGTGCCTAGATAAATACTCAAATGCCATCCAGTCCAAATGACTGTCATGAGAGAGGCCCACCATTGCTGGAGACCTCTGATTTTTATTTAATGGGCCTCACTTGTTCTGTGCCTTTACAGAGGGGTGAGTAGTGGCTGAGGGAATTTGAGGAAACGCAGACAGAATTCTCCTCCTAAAAGATTTTGCTAAGCAGGTGCCCGGGACCACCGGGCATTTGTCCAATTAAAACCCGGACACACAGCAATAACAAAGGTACTGGTCTCCTACTGCTAAACCTAGGGATCAAACCCCAGGCTGCAGGAACTCACCCCCGCAGTCAGGACCGGGCCACTGGGTGGACCTGGGCTGGTGCTCCTAACTCTGGGGAGAGGGAGACTTCCCGTGGCTGCAGGCTAGAGGCCCCAGACTCTGCGCCACCCACCCGAACAGGTCCATAGAGCAGGCTGGTCAGCGGAGTGGCTTCTTCACCTGGGATCACGGGGAGGCCTGGCCTGGCCTGTTTGCCCCACGATCGATCGCGGGGAGGCCTGGCCTGTTTGCCCTGTGATGGGCGCCGGGCTGGGGGGCGTGGACCCTGGCCGCCGCTTGGCGCCGGTGCACACGCAAGTGGCCATGGGGCAGGAACATCCGCTTGGTGCCTGCGCCCATAGGCCCGGAGTGGCTGGGGGTGTTCTGGGACCCCGGCTGCTCAGGGCCTATGTGTGCGCCTACAGGCTAAGAGTGGTCTGGGTCCCGAGGATGTTCCCAGGACCCAGGCCGCTCGGTGCCTGCATATGCAAATTAACCCGACAAAGATGGAGGGTTAATTTGCATATTCTCCTGATTGGCTGGTAAGTGTAGCAGAGGGACGGTCAATTTACATGTTTCTCTTTTATTATATAGGATATCATGAATACCTGTGAGCTCACCACCTAACTCAGGAATGAGAATAAAATAAATAGTAACTAGAAATAAGACTATTATTGTTATTAGAATGTAATACATCAGCTAAGAAATAAATTATTAGAATATAAAATATTAACCAGAAACCCATTATTAATAAATATGGTTATAATTCATAAGTGTAAGTAAATTAACTTACAGTCACATAATAAATCCATGTGAGCTCACTACCTAACTCATTCACTTAAATGCTATCAATACCTTTCCATCCACTTGGATGCTCTACTATCCCTGCCCCACCCATATCGCCTCTAGGTGAACACTATCCTAAATTTTGTGCTCCTTATTGCTTTTCTATTTTAGAAAACTTTTATCACATGTGTGTGCAGGCCACAACAACGTATTGTTTGGTCTCAGCTATTTTTGAACTTCTTGCAAAGTGCAGCCTGCTTATGTGGTCCCTCTTCATCAACCCCAACCGTGCTTCCATCTCAGCAGCAGCTGACACTGGGGAGCCCACTCCAAAACACATTGAGTCTTGTGCAGCTTGAAAACAATCCCTGTTAATGGCCTGCCACCTCCTCTCTGCAGCTCCAGGCAGGAGCCCTAATGGGTACAGGCGCCCAGGTTTCCAGGCTGTGCTAGCCAACAGGCCTAGCTGCCCCATTCACCGCTTTGGCACATCCTAGGCAGGTACAGGGAGGAAAATGGACCTGGGGCCCCAGGGCTGCTGTGTAGTAGATAGGAGAGCAGTAGGCTGAGTATGAGCAAGCCTGGATTTGAGTCCTGGTATTCCCAGGATTCAGCAAAGTAGGATGATCAGGCGCTGAAAGTGACCTTGGGCAAGTTAGTCTCTGGGTCTTGGGTTTGTTATGTGTGAAATCACACCATTGGACCTCAGTGGCCTGGCAGTCCTTTTTAGTTTTGCTGTCCTTTGACACTGAGTCATTTTCTCAGGTCAAAGGAGCTTCTTGGTGCATAGTCTTTAATTCTTCAGAGAGCTTGTGAACCCCCTAGGGCAGTGGTTCTCAACCTGTGGGTCAAGACCCCTTTGGGGGTCGAATGACCCTTTCACAGGGGTCGCCTAAGACCATCGGAAAACACATATATAATTACATATTGTTTTTGTGATTAATCACTATGTTTTAATTATGTTCAATTTGTAAAAATGAAATTGGGGGTCACCACAACATGAGGAACTGTATTTAAGTGTCGCGGCATTAGGAAGGTTGAGAACCACTGCCCTAGAGCATATCATTACAAATTTACAGACGGAAAGAGCATTAGGTTCCACTTAACCATTGGGAAGTGAAACAGAAAGCAGGATTCCACTCGTTTTCCAAAAGCACCAGGAATAATCTTGTGAACCCCCTGCTGTTTGTTCCCATGGCCCCTGTGGTCACAACTCATGCCAGACTTGTTTTCTCACTTAGGGGATAGGATATAAAGGGGGTAAGGCTGCATTGGTTGCTGCTCCCCAAATTTAGGACCATATCTGGCACATCAGAGGCATCTTGAATAGATGTGTGTTGAATGAATCAATGGATGGATGGATGGATGGATGGATGGATGGATGGATGGATATACACTTGGAATCCTGCAGGCACTATTGGTCACAATCACTTCAAAATACAAAACACAAGCTGTCTGTAATCCAGAACCCAGAGAGACTGTGAGGGGAGAGGCCTCAGGGAGGGAGAAAAGGGGTCCAGATATTGAGTATGAAGGCATCTTCATAACAGGGAAAGCTGAGGGCAGAGGAGGAGAAGAAAAGACTTGCTCACTGACGGGAACTCCAGGTGTCCTGCACAGCCCTGTGGTGAGTGCTCGCCCTCGTGCACTGCAACTTCCTGGATGCTTCCCCAGGACACTCTAGAATCTAGATCACTAGAATCAAGAAGCCCACATTTGCAGCCCAGAGCCATAGTTTATGGATAAGTAAAATGATATATCACTTTCCATAATTATGAAATAGCCACCTAATGCTTAGTAACACCCTAACACAGGCTGACTATGTTATAGGTTGGGTGATCATATAATTTATCTTTCAATTAAGGAAATCTTTGAGAGTGAGAGAGAGAAAGAGAGAGAGAGCTAGTAATAATTATACCAGGAAAACAGAAGTAAACTGTGCACAACAGGTTTGGTCATCCTTAGTGTATCTTTTCCCTGTTCTCATCCCATCTAATCCTCACAGAGCCCCATGGTCTGGAGGTGTAAAAAATGAGCCCCCAGGTCATGTGCAAATACGTGGCAAAGTGGAAGCTGGAAACTGGGTCTGTTGTGCCCACTTCACGGTCCTTCCCACTGACACACATCCAAAAGGTGTTATCAGATGTGAACCATTAGGTTTGTTCAGCGATTTCATCCATGGCTGTTCATCTGCATCACCTGGGGGAGATTTTTAAGTCTTGGCAAACCTGCTCCCTTCTCATCCCCAGAAATACTGAATTCAAATCCCTAGTAGAGTAAAAACAGTTGACTTTTAATAAGTTTCTTCTGGACATATTGTTGGAGGATCAGGACTGAGAAGACTGGTTTAATTAGTCCATAGCTAATGAACCCATCATGGAAATGAGACCTTGGGGAAGTTCTTAACCTTTTGATGTTGATGTCAGGGGGAGAGATCACTTTCCTCCAACCCAATGTGGGCATATTTTGGGGCTACCATCAGAGTCAGACTCCTAGGCTTGGTGACTGGCAAATTTGAGGCGGTGAAGTCTCTGGGATTCTCATGAAGCATCTGACGAGGTAAAAGAAAGAAGGTGCCTGAATCCTCTTGCCTGAAGGTCTATAAGAACTGGAGAGACACCTGTCTGAGCTGCTGTAGGTGGCAGTGGGGGTGAGAGTGCTGTCAGTCACACACTGCTCTTCTCCACACACACTGGAGACTGTCTTTTGACAATTTATTTAGATGTAGTTGGCAGGGAAGATGCTGGGAGCAGGCACACTTCATCTGTAGACAGCAGTACTAGGATAGTACTGCCTTAGACTAGAGGACAGGAAGGCTGGATGTGTTTGGGGATCCAGGATCGGAGACTCACAGATTGCATGCCCATGATCCTCCTTCAAGCCATTCCAAATATTCAGGCTGCTCTTCCCTCTCTAGGACCTTGAGTTTGCATCGATTTCCCACATGCACACACTGAAGGCTACTCAAGTCTGAATCCAAACCACTGACATTTGATCAAGCCAGTTCATTGCAAAGGGCAAAGAAAGACAAAGTCTTCATCGCCATTCAAATAGTGCTTGAAAGATGTTAGAGGCCACCTGGTCTGACTTGGTGCATGATAAATACCAAGTCAGTGGACCCCAGGTAGCTTGTAAGCTTGTGATACAGTTCTAATTCTTTATGGTGCATTGAAGTCTGCCTTCTAGTAATTTCCACCGACTAACCTTTGTTCTGCCTCCAAGGTCACACATGAGTTTTTCCATGTGACAGCTTTTTGTCGTGTTTAAAAGGCACTTATGTTCTCCCCCAAGTCTTCTTATCTTTAACTTTGGTCCTAAGCAAAGAGGAAATCAGCATTAATGAGTCCTGTATCCTGGTGGGGAAGATAAGTGTCTAAAGGGCCAAGAGAAACTGACTATAAGATGGGATCTTCTATTGTTCTTAGGTTCAAAGCTCTCAGTGTAACTGAGCATCTATGGGTACATTGAAACTTCATGGGATGTCTATCTAGTCTGGTTTTATATCAAATAAATCATTTGTTCAGTGCTTAAAGGCCTACTAAGTGAGGTGGTAAGCACTGAAGATATAACAGTGAGCAGGCCTGGCATGGTCCCTGCCCTCATGGATTGCAGTCTTGGGGAGGACACAAACAAGTGGGCAGAAAAGACATTTGTGCTGCAGCATGACAGGCTCAGGGTGCCCTAGTCCAAGTGGGCGGTCAGGCAGGGCTTCACAGAGGAAGTGGCCTTGAAGGATGAGGGAGAGAGAGCCTGGTGAGCAGGGAGCAGGGGGGAAGAGTGTTCCAGGGATGGCTGTTGCTGAGGAAGATGGCCCATTAGCTGTGCCTCTCATGGAGCTGTGGGATCTGTACTGTGCTGAGAGGGATGTGTGCAATTTAATGGCAAATACAGAGGAGGTGCAAGCATCAGCGTGGCTTTGGATCATGCAGGAGGTGTGGGCTCTGGCCCAGCATTGGGGCTGTGGAAAGAGAATCATCCCTCATTTCTATTTGAGCCAGTTGGTCAGCACAGCTGAGACCCCTGGTGAGCCTGGGCCAAGGGTACTAATTTTGGTTCTAGGGCAGAGAGGCAGGAAGGGAAAGCTATTTGTAGGACCGGGCTGGCAGTGGAAGTGGGGAAACTGGGTTAGCTGTGGAGTTTGCATAAATGATGTCATTTAAGGGGAAACAGGATGTTCTACTCTATGAATCTCTCCCCTACACTGTTGGAAAGTCTTCACTCTGTTGAACTAATGAAAACAAACATACAAACAAAACACACACACACACACACACAGTGGCATTCTGAGATTCATTTGTGTTAGGAAGTTTAGTTGGTGAGAGGGTATTCATCCTCCACTGCTTGGTATGAAATTGTAATATCAGCTTGTTCTCTTATGATCCACAGCTAAGACCCGCAGCCCTGAGGGGTGGAGATCTGATGGAAGGAGGGGTCCCTGAGGCTGAGGAGGAGTTCTGGTGTGGGCTTGGAGATGGCATGTGACCCAACAAGGGTGTTGTGTGGGCGTCAGAGTCTCAGAGGAAAGCCAGTGACTTGTAGGCAGGGTCCCAGCCTCAGCCCTTCTGGAGACGCCTTCTCTGACTGTCCCGTCCTACCTCCCCATCCTTCGCCCCTCAGCCCCTGATGCCCCCTACACCCACTGGAAGCAGACCGTCTTCTACCTGGAAGATTGCCTCACCGTCCGGAGGGGGGAAGAGCTCTATGGGTCCATCTCCATGAAGCCAAATGCCAAAAATGTGGTGAGTGCTAAAATGGCCTCTGTGTGGGCAAGGGTCAGAGAGAAGGGACCACAGTGCTGGTCCCAGTGTCCACTCACCCAGGCAACTCAGTGCCTTGTGCACAATCAGGAAAGTTACCAGATGAGGCAGTCAGAAGTTGGGCTTGGATGTAACTAGGCATTACTGAAGAACTCCAGGGTTGGCCCCTAAAAGCTCCGGAATTTGAGACTTTTTCTAGCACCTCCTTCCCCACCTGGACTCTCAGCCTGGAGCACAGTGTCTAGCTCTTCATAGAGGGGCTTTGAGAACAGAGGCTGTTGCCATGGGTTTCACCTCAGTTAGGACGAGCTGAGCCAGGAAATAAGTTCCTGGTGGCCCAGAAGAAGTTTTTGCATTTCTTTAGTGGGCCAAGTGGGTTGGGGACGGCGTGATTCTCTCTGTTTGAGCCACCCTGGCTGCAGGCAATGCCTTGTGGGATTACCACAGGAGACTCACCCACCCCACTCTCTATTCTCCCAGGATGAAATCAGAGGAAACAGTCTGTATTATTACAGGAAGAATTTAGGTTAGGAATCAAAGAACTTCCTGTGAAGATAATGAGGCACCAGAATAGATTTCCGAGGGCTGTTGGTGGGAACTCCTTAGCTAGCAAACCTTAGGAGCAGAGGAGCTACCCATCCATCTGCCTGTAGGGAGGGGCGTGGGGCCAGCACTTCCCTCCACACTGACGCTGCGACCCTTTGCTCCTTCTCTGCAGCGAGACCTCGATTTCACAGTAGACTTGGATTTCAAGGGACAGCTGTGTGAAACATCTGTATCTAATGACTACAAAATGCGTTAGCACACGTGGGAAGCTGCAGAGAGCGAGCGAGAAAAACCCTCACCTCGATCTGCGGCACTGTGATGAGAATACTGCTTGCAGGACTACACACTCGAAAACCAGAGTTTTAAATTCTTCCTTGAAGATTGGGGAACTCGCCAGGGCTCAGGTGGCCCTGACACTGGACAGATGACCTCCAGCTGCTCAGCTCTGCTCTGTGAGCCCTTCACAATGTCTTTGCTGTCGCTGACCATGAGCGACCTCCAGTGCTGCGGCTGGGCCCGGGGACAGAAGTGCTCATGTATACCTATTGTCCTTTACTGTGACTCTCCGATCTCCAGGTTTTGCATGCTGCAGGCATCTAGGGCAGAGGCTTCACTAGAACCTGGAGGCTAGTGTCTTTGATAGAATAAGCCGGATTCTGTCTGTGCGGTGGTGTGTGCGTGCCTGCGCGCGGACAGCATATACAGTCGCTTATTTACCCACAACACTGTATATGCATGCATATACAACCACTGGGTGCACCCAAGTGTCCATCCAGGGCGTGTGTGCACATACGCGTGCGTAGAATATCTATTACTCCCAGAGGAGATTTTGTTGCTTTGGAATAGGACTTTGTTTTGTGATTAGCTCTCCCCTCCCCCACCCCTTACCAGATGTAAGCAGCTATGAAACATTCTCTGTACTAGCTTTGGTCTCCTTTTGACTAGACCGTGGCTCCGAAGCCTGGAGCATAGTACCACACACTCTGTGGGAGCTCAATAAAGGCACATGAGAGTGAAGCAATGGGACGGCTGTGTTCCTGGTGCTCTGAGGGGAGGAGGGTGTGAGGGGGGGAAGCGCAAGGCAAAGGCCGCGTTGGAGCAGAAATGAAAGGGCAGCACCTGGCTCTCTTCCTGCTTCAGGAAGGGAGGCTGCTGGGTAGAAGCAGCTGTGAAGTCAGGACTGGCTGAAAGGCACCTCCCGCAGACTCTCGGGGTGGGAGGAGGGTCCTGGAGCTGGAGTGGGGGACATGAGCTGACTGAGAATGCTCTAGAATGGGAGGCCACATGTGTCCTGGAGTTAAGCCAAAGTCAGGAGCAGGAAGCTGGGATGTGCTTGCTGCCCGGAGGGCTGGGGGAAAGCAGGGGATGGTGACTGAGCTTGTGGTTCTGAGTCATGGAGAGAGACGGGGCAAGGTTTGAGGGGAAGGCCAGTAGGCAGCGAGGGACACTCCCTGTCTAGAGTGCTGAGAGTCTGCTGGGCATGCTGGTGGGTGATCTCGTCCCTGCCCCTCACCCCTGGGCCAGTATCTGGCCTGGCCTGGCAGCCTCCGCATCAGCAGGAGCCCACCCATCTTGAATGGGGCCTTCCCACTGAGCTCAAGCAAGACACGTGGTCCTCGAGGTGGCACGCAGTTTCCCACAACAGCTCCCTCCCACAGTGTGGCGGATAAATTTCCAGTCCTCCCAACTTCTTCAGCCTGCCACCTCTGAGACTCCAGTCCCATCACAGAGAGGCAGAACCAGGTGAGAGACTCCTGGGGCTGTGACTGTTACTTGAGGAAAAGGGGGGAGCGTCACCTGTGATGACACTCACCTGTGGACAGGGACCAGGCCTAGCTGCCCTGAATATTCAATTGCCAGGTAGGGGAGGGCCCGCCTCTGGTTGAGGGGCCAGGCACCTGGGGCTGTAGCACCACTGAGAGAAGGGGGCTGTGCCAAGTGAGTGTTTTCCACACTGTGTCCTGGGGGCTCTAGGGCTTGTGGGAGGTGCCAGGGGCAACCCCCCAACTTCAGAAAGAACCATTTTTCATTTCTCTGTTTTTTATTTATTTAATTTTTTTGGGGGGGGGGCAGAATTCTACTAAAAATAAAAATAAAACAAAGAAATTTAAAGAAACCAAGACCAAAACCAAACCCCTTTGAAAATGACTTATGTAGGTGACTCACAGTCCTAATACTCCAAAGTCAGGGCTATCTGGGACTCTCTCTTCCCTTCCCTCTGGCCCAGCAGACCTGGGCAGCCTCACCTAAACCACTTCCTACAGCCCCAAAGAGCCTTTGGGTCTTAGCTGGCACCTACTACCTGGCCTAGAACCACATTTTCCCTCACCTGCACCTTTGTTATCTCCTGCCCCATCCGCTCCACAATATCTTCTCCATCCTCACTCAGAGAGGAGATAGGCTCTGGGCAGAGAGGGGCGGGGGAGGGGGCTCTTGAGGAGCACGTAGCTCTGAGGCTGCTCTGCTTGGCAAGCTGGTGGGTTTCACTTGCCCCTTGGCCTGGCTTCTGTGCAGGGTCCCAGCAGGCCGGGCCCTTTGGAGCCTGTGTTTTCCATCAGACACCTCGTGGGGATGAAGTACCATGTCCTTTGCCAGAACTGGTGAAGTGTTTTCATTTGGTTTGTCTGGGGTTATTCTCTAGCTTTGGGGCAGGGCAGTCTCATCTGTGTCAGCATTTCTCCTTGGGGAGACATTTTGGGTCTGGGAAGGCAAAGGGGCCATTTAGAGGAAGTGGCCCAGCTGACAGGGCCCAGGATGGGAGGGTGTGGAGGAGGCCTCGGCTTGCCTGAGGGTGGGTGTCCTGGGGTTGGTCATGGCCTTAAACATGATAACGAACTTCAGCGGCAATGGCTCTCAGGCATCTGCTCGCTTGTTGGCTTCCCCAAAGCTGTGGGACTTAGGCATGAGTGCTCCCCACCCGTGCTGCAGCCGAGGCACTGAGACTGGGGAGGAGGAGCGGAGCTGGGCAGTGGGCCCAATCCTGCTCCTCGTGCCTCTGCTGACAGTGCCCGTCCTCTGAACCTCGGCCAGCGAGGCCTCTCTTTGTACCTAGAGACACATACAGTGAAAACCGAGAAATGCTTTTTGCCCACACATATTAAACAAGAAAAGTCTAGAAACTTCAAGGAGACAACAGTGACTGTGTTAGAAGAAGGAGAGGTTGAGGAAGGACATGGGCTGGGGCCCCCGAGGGGAACTCACCAGGGAATTTTCACTGTGGTGGGAGTCAGGAGCCCTGGATGCTGCCTATCCTCAAACAGCAAGGCTCTCCTACTTTGTGTAGAATTCCACCCATGGTCAGTGGGCAAAATCCTACTATGCCAAGAGCAACCAGGATGACGATCTCCCAGGAGCTCAGGTGTTGGGACCTGGAGGCATCCCTGACATTCCTGGGGGACAGGAGGTCGGTGAAGACAAGGCCTGGCAGTCTTTGGGGCATCTTCTGCCTTCAGAGGAGAAGAGGGTCACCCCACGGCCTGCCCTGGCTCTGGGTCTGTGGCCCCCACCACACCACCCCCTCTTTCTGCTCCTGGGGTGCAGAGTGAAGCCTGGGAGGCATGAAGAAGCATCCACAACCCCCCCCCCCCGCCTTGTCCTGCCCCTGGGAAAGAAAGCTCCAGTGGGAATTGTCATTTCTCTCTGATTCGGTGGGAAATAAGCAATATCTGCTGGAGCATGTTCTAAAGAGAAGTCAGTGTGTCAGATGAGGAGGTTTCAGCATGATGATAGAGATGCTATAAAAATGACTTCACTTAGGGAACCTGTTTGTTCCCCCAATCTGACTTTTTTTTTTAGACTATACTAGACCCTGTCACTCTTCTCCCTTCCTGGGGAACATCTCCCTTTAGTTCCCTACTTCCCCCAGACCTGCAGCGGTGGTGTGTCTGCGGTGGTCTTAATTGGGCTTATTGGTACCTGTGCTTGCTCAGAGCTTCATTGCATGCATGGTCTCTTCCCCACTAGACCATAGGTTCCAAGGGCAGGAACCTCCTTCTGCCTGTGTTTTTCCCTGATCAGAGTTGGGGGTGCAGGAGGGAAATCACAGGTGACAGCTGACCAGCTTGATTCCTGGGGAACATGTCCCAGACCACCTGGCTCCTGTCCCTCCTGTCTGTGCCCTGGGGACATGCCAACATTTTCTTTTCTCGTAAAAGCCACTCCTTTGCCAGGTGCTGCCTAGTTTCCCGTCTCTGAAACCTTCTCTCTTGGCACCACACCTGACACACCATCTCCAGGCCCAGCTTGGCTCCAGACCTCAGTAACAGGATAACGTTAAGCAAATGCCTCAGCCCATCCCTGTGACTTGGGGTGGTCACCTGGCCAGGTGTCTGGCCAGTTCTGATTATTGGGTACCTGCCCTACCTTGATCTCCTATCTTTAAGTCCCAGGTCCTATGTGATGCAACTCCCCCCCTCCCAACTCCCTTACATAGAAGATCCCCAGCCTGGTTTCTGGAGCCCTCTTCCTAATGACAGATTTTTCTGGATCCTTGCTACCTGCCTGGAGTCTTGAATGGCACCTCCCTGCACACCTGGTTTCTGAGTGCCACCCACCTGTGATGCACCCTAACTTACCTTAGACCCCCAGGCTGTCCCATGTTGTGTCTGAGCCCTGTGCTTGTGGTCTTGTGACTGCCAGGAAAGGCCTGATTTCCTGAGGATGGGTCATCTCCTCACTCCTGTCTGACCACTGTTGATACACTCGGCTCCACATCTGGGAGACTCCCAGGCTGCCTGTCTTGGTCCATTGGAAGCAACTGGTCCACATTTAGCCAAGGCTCAGACACAACATGCTCAGTGATCAGAAGTTCAGCCAACATGCATTTATTGGATACTTAATGGGCTGCAGGTCCTGCGCACAAAGCAATACAGCAGCATCAGCAAGCACTGTCCCCTGCCCTCACAGCACACACTGCCTGGGTGTCAGTTTCTGGGCATGCCTGCCCTGCTCTTGCTTAAATACTGAGAAGTTTGCACCCTCAGCCATCATCCCTAGCCAACCCCACTCTACCTGTCCCACCCAGTGAACCATCCATCTTCTTAGTCCAGCTCAGCAACATAAGCTGTGTCAGGATTGGAGGTGAGGTGTGCAGCTTCTTTGGCTTCTCTCAGTCATTAAGCCTACGAAACAGAAGCCCACTATCTACAAATTCCACAGGAGGGTCAAGCTGGCCATTTTCAAAGGAGGTCTGAGACCCCTTTTAATCCTGGTTATTTCTCATAGCAGAAGTGAAAAGTGCCTTTTCCAACCACTAGGCTGTAGCTAACACCTCCGTCCCAAGGGCAGCCATAGCAAACTGGGCAGAGAAAACACCCAGGACACTGGCTCATTAGACCCAGCCCCTTGTTGTCCCTACCTCAGAAGGCAAGTGACAGTCACTGGACAACTCATGACATGAGGTTTGGAGCCAAAGGACCAAATCAAACCCCATCTCTGCTGCTTACTCTGTGACTTTGGGCAAGTCCTCCACATCCATGAAACTCAAAAGGAGGTAACTCAGATAAAATGAAAAAAAAAATATAAAACACATTTGGAATCTATAAAGTACAATGGAAATCCCAGTTATAAAGCTATTTTAATAATATTTCCACCCTGTACTCTAGCTCCCATCATTGAGAAGCACGCCGGGTGCCAGTGCCTGAGGCCTGCACCTCTGACGGTCCTGGGGCGAAGCAGGAGTGGCCATCGCAGCCTCAGTTAGCAGCTGGCCAGCCCCCAGGGCCACAGACTTTGGCTCAGAGTTTGGGGACAGCCCTGGGCAAAGGTAGCCCGTTTCATGGCTCTGGTTCACAAGTGGCTTGCAGAGCTCTTAAAGCCTATCTCCAGCCCTAAACGGTTTGGCTCAGTGGATAGAGCGGCAGGCTGCGGACTTAAGGGTCCCAAGTTCGATTCCGGTCAAGGGCATGTACCTTGGTTGCGGGCACATCCCCAGTGGGGAGTGTGCAGGAGGCAGCTGATTGATGTTTCTCTCTCATCGATGTTTCTAACTCTCTATCCCTCTCCCTTCCTTTCTGTAAAAAATCAATAAAATATATATTTTTAAAAAAGCCTATCTCCAAGCCCTCAGGCAGGCAACAGCTGGCTGGCATCCTGGCACATGACTTTTCATTGGAACTAAAAGAGCCTCAATTATTTAGATGCCATACCCCCACATGGGGCTCTCTGGGCAGGGTCTCCCCTTCTGGCTCTGTTGACCTGTATTGCTAATCACAAGGACTTCCTAGTGACCTTGAGACTGAGCCTAGTGTCTATGTCTAGTGCCTGTTTGCATCCTGTGGAGATGAGCAGTAGTAACCCAAAGTTCACTTTATTTTGAAATCCCAAACATGCCGTCTTTCCCAGGAGAATTTTCCCCTTGTCATATTTGGTTTTGATCAATAACATGTTGGGTTTGTATACTCTCAGCACCTAATCTCTTTGATGGCCAGAGTTAATGGCTTGGAAGCACATTCTGGGGATCAGCAAGAGGGATGAGTTAGGGACCAAGCTGAGAACCTCATCTTGACTGCAATGGCAGCCACAGATGTTTGAGAGATGTCTGGCTACATTTAATAAGAAATAACCAGTCAAATGTCCCCCATCATTAAAAATTGTCATCAATGTGACAGAGGCACATGTCACTATGGCACTGTGAGTCAGAAGTCATTAGAAGAACAGAACAGTAGGGATCCTTTTCTGTGTGCAGGGCAAGGACCGAGCCTCCCAAGAGAACATCTGTGCAGGAAGGAAGAAGCAAAACCTAGAGATGTGGAAATTCTGTGCTGCACCACAGCGCTGTGGTCTAGGAGAGCATGTGACCGTGAAACACGGAATATCTAGGATGAGGATATACTCACCACCTGTTATCTGGAGGCTGGGCATGGCTTTCGGATTAAGCATGGGGTGGGATTTCGTCGTCAGCATAATGGCTCCAGTTCTGGTCTCAGTTGGAACCAAGAGAGGTAAGTGAGTTGTCTCTCCCAACTTCCTCCAATCCATTCATATTTCTCAGGGCCCTTCTGTGTGGCAGACACTGTGGTAGGCACTGGGACAAAACAGATGCCAGTCTGCCCTTCTGGAATTACAGGGTGCTGGAGGAGCAGACCCTAAACAAGAGTGATAAATATTATGAAAGAGGAAGTACAGAGGCTGAGGAAATAAGAGACTGGTAGGAGATGGAGACACTCTGTGAAGATATGAGTTTAAACATAAACTTGAGAAAGCAGAAGAGGAGGGGAGGTACCTCAGAGGGAGAGATGGCATGTGCTGAAGCCCAGCCCAAAGGACTCTGGAGAGTGTGGCCGATCTGAAAATTCGAGAAGAGCAGAGAACAGGAAAAGGTGAGGGCCTGGGGAGAGCAGCGAGGAAGGAGGCTTGAGATGTAGCCAGGGACCACGGTCAAGAGCCTTGTGAACTGCATCAAGGAGACTTTTTCCTTGGGCAGTGAGAAGACTGCCGGCTTTTAGTGAGGGAAGTGACAGGACAGGAATAGCATGCCACACGTGCTCGCAATCTAATGAGCTCAAGTTGGCAGTCATTTCCCCAGGAAAATGACAGTAGACTTAACCCATTTCCTACTTCAGAAAATCAGCCACAGGAAAGATAAATGTAAAACCGCAGAACCTGTAAGAGCCACTGCGGAGGATGGAGATGGAGGCTTCCTTGGGTGGCTGTTGTGGAAAATGGCTTGAATACAGACTGCTTCATTGTAGGATTGCCTCATTCACCACTTGGGAATCTGCAAATGGGCAGTCTGTACAACTCAGAGATCATTTGGATTACCCTTTCCGTGTCACCTCAACCTGTTCTTCCCACAGGCGGCTTCCTCTGGGCTCCGAGGATGTTATTGTCTGGGAGGCGGGAGGTGGTTGGTAGGGTCTGGGCGAGGCTGGGTCTGCATTTCAGGACTGTTCTGCTGTCTTCGGGCCCCAGGCAGCTGTTTCCAGAGCGCATAGTGCTTGGCATCATTTTCAGCTCACAGATGTCTTCTTGAAGAGTCTTTCCGAAGCTTCATGGAGCCTAATGGGTTTCTGATATTATGGCAATTGCTTTCTGGCCATGGTTGGTTAGCTCAATTGGATAGCACATCATGGTTGAAGCCAAAGACACAGACTGCACAGGCTCACTGCTCAGTTTCACGGTCACAGATGATGCCTGGAAACTCCAGCCAGCCTTGGGGATAAACAGACCTGGGATTGAAGCCTGGCGCTTCCTGCCTAAGGCTCTGAGACCTGCACGAAGTTCCTGGAGCTCCCTGTTCCTGTGTGACTTCTTCCCCGTCCAGCGGGGATGACAACACCTTTCTCCCAGGTTGCTGTGAGTGTTAGGTGAGAAAGCAGTGCACGGTCCCACCGCTGCATGTAAACGGAGCTTTTAGTTCTGAAACGGAGGCTCCAACAAGACTGTTCAAGGGCTCAACCAGGAGGGAGAGAGACGCAACTCTAGGAGTGTGTCTGCCCACCCACAGTGGGTCGGAGAGCTTGCCTCGTGGAGTCAAAGAGAAGAGGTGCGATCCTCTATTGCTTAGAAATGGTTCTGAAGATGGTCTTGGATACCTGCATTCGAGGCTGTGGGAGCTCAGAGCAGGGCCAGGGCTTGGGGCGGCCTGAGGTCATTAAACATGACTCAGGGCCTGAGGCCACCCTCTGCGTGTGGTGCAGAGCTCAGGCGGCAGGAGGCTTCCCGTGGTGTCGTAATGAGGACTTACAGTCACTCTGGAGCAGAGGAGCCGGGGCTTGGTGGAGTGTGCTCTCTGGAGCTGAAGGAGTGAGTTCAAAGCGCAATTCTCCCACGCTTGGCTGTGTAACCTTGAGCAAGTTGTTAGCCTCTCTCTGCCTCAGTTTCCTTTACCTGTAAATAGGGGGTAATCCTATATGATCTTCCTCAGAGGAAGGTGGTAAGGGTCAAATACGAGCCGTGCCTGGGACCAGGGCAGCATTCTGTGTTAGCTGTTTCTACTACGACAGGCCGAGGCTCTGACTCATACCAGGCTGTGAGCTCCTCCGGACCTGACCCATGTTAGCCCCTCTGAGCCTCACGGGTGTCTCCTTGTGCCCCTGAGCGGATATCTGTGCCCACGCTTACCAACTATGGTATCAGCATCTGTTTTTGTGTCTATCTTCCCCCCGACTGTGCTGTCCAGGAGGGAAGGTTCTGTGTCTCACTTGGGTTTGTATTTCAGGTTCCAGCACAGTCCTGGTCCATTGTAGGTGTTCAGGGAACACTGGCCCGGTGAGCAGATGATGGCTTGCTGCCATGATGCTCCTGTCAGTTGTCGGTCTGCCTGCTACTCCTACTTGGGGACCTACTGTGTGGCCTTGAGGGGCCTGTCCCCTACTAGGCCTCAGCGCTCTCATTTACGAAATGACGGTGCTTAGCTTACAGTGGTCGCAGGCCCTCGCCAGCATGAAGAATCTGTGATTTTCTAACTCTGTAGCTCCACAGCTCTTATTTGATGAACCTGAACTCAGAACTTTCCAAGAAGATCCTGACTTTTCAGTGGAGGAGAGTAGAATGGCTGCTGGGCTTTTGGAGGGGCAGGGATCAGGCTGAGAAATAAAGGCTTGAGGAGGAAATGAAGTTCCTGCCTGGACAACAGAGAATTCTGGAGGCTTTGCCAATGAAGAGCCAGAGGAAAGGGGGCGCTTGACTGTACTTTGTCAGTCTGTGACTCTGCTGAAATGGGACTATCTCTTGGAAAATCATTTTAATGGAATTAAGCATGCTGGCTGCGGGCTGGCTGCGGGCTGGCTGCAGGCTGGGTGACTCTTGTCCATGTAGGGAGTTAATTTGGCTCCGCTAATATTGCCTATTGATTATCTCTGATTAGATTTCCTTTCATGTGTCACTCCCAAATGTTTCTCATGAGTGGGTCTTGGAGATGTGGGCTTCTGAGGAAGGTGAGGGAAGAGCAAGGAGAGTAGGGCTGAGCAGGTGTCCAGGCTCAGGGGGCCTGGGAGAGACGGAAGCTGTGTCTAACCACAGTGGCTCCAGCCCCGGACTTAAGGGTCCTGGGCCAGAGAAGTCCTGGCTCCCCAGCCCTGCTCTAGAGGAGGTCCTCATGCTCACGGAGCCTCAGTTTCCACACAGAGAAAATGATTCACAGAGGGTGTCAAGGAAGAGACTGTAAAACTCTAACGTGCCTACACTTGTGGGTTTTCTGTTACTCCCTCCTAGTGCACAAGCACAGCGAGCTTTGATTATTCGTAGAGGAAACTATGGCCTGGAGACTTCAAAGTAGTGGATTATACAAAATGTAATTTTATTTGGTGTGGGATTTGCAATGTATAATCCCTAAGTCCCCACCTTATTCTGAGAAATCCCCTTTCCTAAGGCTCTGGATTTAATTGGAAAAAACTCAGTGTTTGAGATGTAATGACTTAAAGTACGGGGTGGGGAGGCATCGGGTAGTCTGGAAACTCACTGAACTGTGGGAAGGCAGAGAGGGAAGGCCAAGGGTACAATATGGCCTGGCTCCTAGACAAACCCAGGAAGCACTGAGAGTTGAGATCGGTTGGTATGAGTTCTTCCTTCTTCCTTCTCTTCCCCACACCCTGGGCTACTCTCACTTGCTGCACTCCAGTCTTGCCTCCTCCTTCCACTCCGCTCTCTTTGGCACAATTGTAAAGAAGACCTGTCGCTGCCCTATTAACCTACAGGGTGACATTTAAACTCTTCTGATGCAGGAGAGCGGCTCTCAAGTTTTGGGCTTCTCTGCTTCCATCCCCAATTCACTCTCGAAGCCCAGCTTCAGCCAACCCCAGACTCCTCACCCTGCACTCTGCTACAGCCATAAGCCCAGCACCGGTGGGTCCCCAAACCAGCTCACTCTCCTGGGGCCCTTCTCTCCCCTTGGTATTCCTGACTTTTGAGCTACTCCCTTTCTTTCCATCTTTGCCTGAGGGCTTCTCTTTGATTTCACTTCTCAGACCGTCACTGAATGCTTTGTTAAGACATGGCTGCCTCTACCCATCCTCCCTGTCCTTCCCCCTCCAAGTCCAGGGGCAACTTAATCCTGCTAAAGTCTCACTTCCCATACTACACTGCAGTCTCTCATGTTCTATCCATCTGCTAGTATAGCTCCATCACTGACTTTGAGCTCCTTCATTTTTTTTTAGTTCTTTTTTATGTTCCAAGGGCATAGTGTAATGGCATATATTGCAACTTTTGTGGAATGTATTTCAAGTCATAAATGGTAGGACAATTAGGGAGGGAGTCAAGGATAAAATTAAAATGGGTAGAATGTGTGGCTTCATCAGTGTGTGTGTGTGTGTGTGTGTGTGTGTGTGTGTGTGTTGTGTGGCACCTGAGCCCCAACATTTCCTCCTGAGTACAGGGAATCAGGTGACTGCTATCTATGGCCTGGTAATTGAGAGGGTCCACAGTACCAGGGAGGCCTCAGAATCCTGTTGGCCATCTGCTTAACCAAAGACCTGTTGTATGATCACAGACAAGTCATTGAAATTCCCTTAAAGAATCCAGACAGAGGGAACTGCATGGGCAAAGACACAGGCACACAAGGGCAGATCCAAGGTCAAGAAAATGTTCACACACAAGCAGATTTTTCACTTTCTATTATTCCATTCCATTATTGTTGATAATAATGGTAATATTAAACAATTTTTTAAAACTCTTTTAACTTATAATTAAATCAGAATTTATGGTAGGAGGGGAGTGCAAGATTTTAAAAAAATAATAAAATAGATAAAACAATTAAAAGTGGAATAAATATGAAGAAATAAATAGTTAAAATAAAAAAAATCCTTCCGCTATTCTCCCCTCTCCCCCCAGTGATTCCAATGAACAGCGAAGGTTGAGTGCAGGAGCTAACATCACTCCATGGTGTGGGGCAGGGTGGTGCTGCTGTTTCAGGTGAAGCAGCTCTCCTGATTTCAACCACTGCAACCCAGCAGCTGGCCGCCACCCACAGATAGGGGGCATGCAGTGGGGCCTACTTATCAAGTCTCCAAGAGATGATGCTGGGGGACTAGAGGGAACATGACTTGAATCACAGCAGGAGAAAATTAGGTCAGATCAACCAAAGTGGGCCAAGCCCCAGAACCAGTTTCCAGTAAATATCAGGGGACAGACTGGGAACCCTGCTGTGACGGGAGCCTGTGAAACCCTCACAGGTGGACTACTGAGAGTCAGAGGAACTAGGGATAGCAAATGACCTTCCCAGAAAGCAGAACATATAGAATTGGAAAGGCAACTGTGACACCAAGACAGCCAGGAGCCAGCATGGCTGCTCATTGACCTGAGACCCTGGCAAGTCCCTCCTCCTGCCTGAGCAGTCTCCTCATCTGTGACCTGAGGGAGCTTGGTGAGCCTGC